AGTGACTGCGTCTGCTATATCTTTAGATATTTTCGCAGATGATTTCAAATAAAGTAGCAATCCTCAGATCCGAACTTCAGAAAGGTTAGGATATGAGGATGGGTTCGGATATAATGTGGCATGTTTAATATAACGATCACTTAACAGAACAAAGGAATTTATCGCAATATATACACAATTTAAGTGTCTCACAAAATTATATATGTCCAAGAAGTTTTATTTTCAATTGTCTTTATTTTTTCTTTTCTCATTTCGCCGTTTTAGCTTCTTATAAATAAGCACTTGGCCATTCTGTACGACTGAACGAAGAATTTTGATAATCTCATCTATAGCTTTATCTACTGAGTCTAACTCTTCATCATTCTCTATATCTTCAACATTATCGGAAGAATTTGATTCTTCCTCTATTTCTTGACAATACATACCATTTCGAAGCTGTTCTAGAATTGAATTCTTTTGTAATTCATTAGTATCTTCATTTACACATTCTTTTAATCATCCAAAGTGAGAGTATTCAGGGGATCATCTTCAAGCGCAAGTTTTTCGTTAAGATTCTCCAATTCTTGTTTGTGAATTTGCAAATTCAACGAATTAGGATCTTCGTCCAGTTATTCAACAATTTCTAATTTCTGACGTTACGTGAAAGAATTTATTTTGCTTTTTCTTCCATTTGAAGTTTCTTCTGTGCGAGACAGAATTTCAAGTTACTAACAAATATCTGCAAAGAAAAGAAAAATATTCAAATGTAGCAGATTTCCTACAACATCTAAATGGCAACACTGAGAAGATCAGATATGAGGACGTTCGGATATGAGAACTTCTACTGTATATGCACATACATACCTAGTTCTCTCTCTCTTTCTGTCACTCTTTCGCCATCCTTTATTGAGGTAATTACATTTTCTTTTTACGTATTATTTAGTACGAGACGACCGTATACATTTACAAAGACATGAAAATGAAGCACACAAATCCCGATGTGCATTAGATAAGTAATGAACACACACAGACATATATATATATATATATATATATATATATATATATATATATATATATATATATATATATATATATATATATATATGTAAAGTCCTGCTGTATGTGTGCGTGTGTACAACATCCTCCTCGTTGAATTATTTCTTGGATGACTTCATTATTCACTCTGTGGGGATGAATTGAGAGTGCCGGAGCTAAGCAGCAGCGAATTTACTTTCACCACAGGAATCAATCCTTGCAAACAATAACGAAATGATGGCTCAGTGGACACATGGATGTGTCCCGTCAATAATGTTTATAGACAGACACGAAGGTTTAATTTCGAATAACTACAGGCTCACTGTATAGCAAAGACTTGTGTAGGACGTGTTCAATGGCGAGCGTAAGTTTAGAATAGAATGTGTACTAAATTATTCTTAAGGTCGGTAAATCAAAGCAGGTGATTAGCTATAGTAAACTATACTGACGTGGCAAAAGTCATCTGACAACAGTATGTAACTGTAATGGTTGGTATTACCACTACACGTTGAAGTCATATTACCTAAACTTATGCCTTGGCGTCATGCGAGTCAATGCTAATGCCATTTTGGATTGTTATTAAAAGACAAGGTAAATGAATGGGTTTCAAAATGAGCATGATAGTGCGTGATAGAGAATTCGAACATTCTATTTCTGAGATTATAGAAAGAATTAATATGCTTTCAGTGCCACGAGTGTAATATGCCGGAGGAATTCTCAGTATCGGAGATATAAGGTTTGTATATATAAAACAGTGTGGATATATTGTGATATGATGATTGGAAACAGTATTAGCATAACCCTATCTATCTATCTATCTATCTATCTATCTATCTATCTATCTATCTATCTATCTATCTCAATTCTGTTCTCTATCTGTCGCAATCTCTCAACATCTATCTATCTATCTATCTATCTATCTATCTATCTATCTATCTAAATTCTGTTCTCTATCTGTCGCAATCTCTCAACATCTATCTATCTATCTATCTATCTATCTAAATTCTGTTCTCTATCTGTCGCAATCTCTCAACATCTATCTATCTATCTATCTATCTATCTATCTATCTATCTATGGGTACTGATCCTCATAAATGTGCAGTGTTCCTTCAGTATGTAGTTGATCATGGCTACCCACAATTCCCTGTCCTCTGTCGCTCTTAGTAAGTTTTGTGTTTTTCTTTCACTCCTAATCATTGTTCTTTCGCTGCATCCATCTTTCCTTATTGTTGTCAACATGTCTTGTGAGTATCAAATTCGCCAAGCACTACTGTCCTCATTAAATACCCCAGAAATTTAAACTATCTTTTCCTGATGTTAATTATAAGTGTCTTTATTGTTTCCATTATCTAAATAACTGATTACATGTTCAGTCCATGGTATTCTCGCCATTTTTCTGTCCAACCACATTTCGTTGCTTCAAATATTTTTTTTAATCTTTGAAAATATTGTCCAGCATTCACTGCCATATTGCCGGACAGATAATATTTCAATACTCTTTTTTTAGTTTCTAAAGAAATTTTTCTGTTTTTTTTGTTACTTTGGTTATATTTTGGAAGGCATCTTTTGCTATCCCAATACTCCTTCCGAGTGTCGTCTACTGTTAAAATACTTCAGTGGTACTTAGATTTTTGCTTGATTCCTATGTCTCCCATTCGTTGGTTGCAGGTAGGTTTTTCTGTTTGCTTGATTCCTGTGTCCCCCATCCGTAGGTTGCATCACGGACTGTTACATTTGCTGAGAACCGTACAATTGTCTTCTTACAGTTGATGATTAGTCCTTTCTTCCCGTTTTCTTTTACTAAAATCTAGTTTCCTTTCTGTGGCTGCTATCCTCACTGTGTCGTACGTTGTTAAAGTTTTGGCCGCCAATAATAAATCCTGGTAGGTCTTCTAAATCTTCCACTTCAAAGGTTTAGTAAGTCCGATGAGAGGAGGCACATTTATATATTTGTGTATTTACTGAATTCATTTTCTATCGGTATAGATTCAGTTTTGTTCCAGAATAGCTTTTAGATTGCTCTAATATCTTTACCCATTAAATCGAGCTTACCTAGCAGTTCAATCAGTTCTTTGTGACGTACTTTATCAAACAGTTTTGCATAATATATAAAAGATTAGTATATATGCTTCCGTATTTATATTTCTCTTTCTGATATAATTCTGAGCATAAATATAGGATTCCTTGTTCCAGTGTCTTTATTGAAACGGCACTGTTCTTGTCTTGTTATGGTGTAGTTCGCGTATTTTGTTCACCAGAATTTGTTTAATAAGTTGTGCTATAGGGATCATTTTGCTGGTTGTCTGATAGAGTTAGCTTTCGTTTACATCTGGCTTCATAGGCAGCGATATAAAATTGAGACTAATTAGATATTCAGGTATATCATTATTGACACATATTTTATGTTATATGTCTGTAGTTTTATAAATGCCCAAACCATCTAAATGAGCCAGCATGTCCGTTACACTTGCACTTGGTCTTGCTACTTTGTTCCTGTTATAACTACTGTCATTTGCAATTTAATATTTTTTGGCCCTTCCAGGTTTTTCTGTATTGCGGGTTTTCCATTTTTTTCGTGGAAGTTTCTGATAGATTCGTTCCATCGTTGAAGTTGTATTTTTGTTTTGTCTATTATCAGCAGTTCCGCTTTTGATTTCATACATCATGTCGAACGACCACGTCATTTACTTTGTCATTTCTTTTATTCTGTGAATACCTGACATCTGTGACGCTTACTTTTTATATTTCTATCTGCAAATTTCTTGTTGAGCCATTCCCATTTTATCTTGAATACATTTCTGATTTCTTCCTGCAGCATTCTATAATGTGTACCATACCTGAGCATTGTTTGCTGTCTACTTGCTTTGTATAAATGTCTCTCATGTTGCACACTTACACATTCCTGCTCCTATTGAACATAGAAGGAAGGAGCTTTCATTAAAACTGTTACAAAAAGCAAAACATCAACGTGAGACCTAGTTCATCTTAAATAGCCTCGTCAGATGGAGATTTTCATATGAATATCATGCATGGCGTCAAATCTGCTCACAATCTATCTAAACTGTCAGCTACATACAACCGAATACGAAGATCAATTGTTAAAAATGGCTTTGAGTTAGTGACGACAGAAGGTCTTGGCAAAATATCATACTTCTTTAAACAATGAGGTCTGGCGTTACATAATCACAAAGAACTGTACGAGAACTATTACTTCCTCTTCCGGAATTGTAAAAAAGTTCCGTAAAAGTTATACTTCCTCTTCTGTTCTCCGGAACGTGAGCAATCATGGCTCTCTATAATTTCCTGTCGTTTGTAGCTCTTAGTAAAGTTTGTCTTTTTGATATATCTCCTAATCCTTCTTCTTTCAAATATTTGCAGAAACTCTTTGCGTAGGCCATGCGCTACGATCCTGTGTTTCTCTTGGATTTGATATGTTCCATGATTGTCTTGTTTTCTAAACCCTTCTTACATATAATGTGGCCGAGAAATTTCAACATTCGATGTTAAGTATTATTGTAACTTTTGTATCAATTTCCGCATAAAACTTCGTCGTTGTTCACATATTTATTTCATGAGATTATCGGCATTCGCCTGTAGAACATACATTGATTTTTGCCTCAATTCACATTCAGCTTTCATATAGGAAGACCGATATTACACAGCATTTCAGAACTCTTTTTTTTTTCTTCTAAAGTTGTTTTTCTGTTACTTAATTGCTTGCTTAGAATTTGAAGGCTATCTTTCACTATGCCAATGCGCCGTTTTAATTCTCGGGCTGTTCCTTTGATAAACAAACAACTGACATTTGATCCTGTATTCTCTCTTTCTTTAAGTAAGAGTATACTGTAGTTTCCTGTTTTCTATCATCACTATGTCATCTGCATATCTTTTGTTTTTAATAACGGGGCCATCATACATGAATGTTGGTAGGACTTCTAATTCTTTCGGGATTTCGTTTCTGTAAAATTTGAATAAGTATGGGCTTACGGTCAAATCACATTGAAACATGGTTCCCGTACGATTGCTGAAATTAAGCAACGTCGAGCCTGGTCAGTACCTAGATGGGTGAACGCTTGGGAATACCAGGTGTTTTAAGCGTGGATATGCAGATTGTTAGACGGATAACGGCTCGAAATTTGGAATCGGACAGCCGAGTTGCAATTACAGTCGGGTCCGTTATATTCACTTACGCGCAAATATCCTTGGGAAAGGTATGCTTCCACCTCTTTTCCCTCTAGCTATGGGTTATATGTTGTTTTTTTATCAATAAATCATTATTATCTCAAAAGACTTTCTTACAATCTAAAAATATTTTCAAGCTTTAAAAAATCTGCAAAGAACTGATAAGACTTAGAAAACAAATGAATCAATCAATTGAATCTGGTGATAAGATATATCCTTGTCTTAAATTCATTTCTATGTTGGGATATTTACTGAATTCATTCTCTGTGGATTTTGAACAAACAAAAATAAATCCTGGGTAGACGTCTGCAACAAAAAATGATACCCCCACCCATTGCAGACGGATGGGCTCGGAGATGAGTAGCCGTTCATTGAATAAATAATATTAAAGAAAATCCACATTCACGTAAAAGAACAAGAAAGTTTTTCATTAGAAAAATAACAAAACATTTATATTACATGGGATATTGATAATATGGTTAGTGTCAGTCAATTTTAACAAGCGAATAAATAGCATGTTTCAAGTGCTACTATCTATTCAGGCAAGGAATACATGGGTGGAGGTTTTAGCACGAGAATTCACACGAGTTGTCCCTTCTCCATCAAACGTGGAGACTACACCCAAAACATTTCGGCTATTGAAAAAAAAAAGTTTTTAGGAGTAGAATTAGTTCGAAATGAATTGAAATTACGAAGGCCAGTTTAGTTTTACGTTCTGATAACCGCTATGTCATCCAGCAACTCCTCTTGCAATTGTAGGAGAAATCCGAGAGAAAAAGACATCCAAAAAAAGAAAGAGAGAAAAAATATTTAAAATGTATAAGGAGTGAGAGTAAAGGTCACTTACACGGTGTCAAATATTAATTAGAAAAAATATTTGTTGAAATATCAAAACTATAAATACATTAAAATAAGAGAACGACAAAATTAAAATATTGAATGAATTCCAATGTGAATTATTGTATGAAAGAAAGCATGACAATTAACAGAGTTTCTAATAAAATATAATTTAAACAGAAAACCCTCCCCAAGAAAAAAAAAGACAAAGTCTTAAAAATAAAAAAAAGATTAAATAGATGGGTATGCGTAAATGTGTGTGTCTGTTTGTGTGTGCAAGTGAGTAAAATGAAAAAATACAGGGAGAAGGGAGAAGAGTTTAAAGAAGAAAGAGAGAAGAAAAGCGAGGACACAGGCTGGAAACGATAAGGGAAAGAAAAAAAGAAAATAATTAGGAAAATTCCACGTGAAAATGGAAAAAAAATACTGTACAATTTGAAGAGAAAAGACAGTGCAGTTATTAATAAAAAAACATTAACAAGAAAAAAAAAATAGATAACCAAAATGGCAGCAAATTGTTCTAAACTTCCGAGACTTTAAACACATTTGGAAGGGAATAACTTAAAATCTAAACGATTTTTGAGATATTTTCCACTCTAAAAAAAATGCAGACAAACAAAAATTATTAAAAAAACAAAGGAAAATATAAAATTGTTTATATTTCTATATACATACTTTTGAACCAGTGGGAGCTGAAAAGTTCTCCCAGTCGACATAAACAATCTCTTTGAAAGCATCTGATATTTGAGCTGATTTGAAGGTGTTTGAATAACTCATTGTCTGTCTTTATCTTTATTCTTTGGCCCTGTATGTGTCTGTGTCTATGTCTCGTTCTCTTTTTTTCTCTGTCTGTATCTCTCTCTCTCTCTCTCTCTCTCTCTCTCACACTTTATGTGGGTGTGGGTTTGTGTGTACGCGCATATAGGTTGTTATATGTATTTTGACATAAATTGTTACGCGCTAAGAAGTCTCCTGTTATTGATGATGTTGATGATGATATGGAAAATGCGTTTGATAGCACATACACACATATATGTATTGATATATATATATATATATATGTGTATGTGTGTGTGTCTGTATGCGTATGTGTGTATTGATACACACACACACACACACACATATATATATATATATATATATATATATATATATATATATATATATATGTTAAGAAATGGACGAGGTCCGACAATTTATTTATTAAAGACATTTTTATTTATGTTTAACGTTGTTATTTTATAGATACAAGTATTTAAGCAAATGCTCTGTTTATGATAAACAGTATTAAATAACATTTACCGGCCTGAATGTCCGAGAAATTTTCATAGAAAATATTCGTTCACAGACAGGATTCGAACCTGCATCCTATACGGAACCGTCATATACGCTGACGTGCCTTAACCACTCAGCCACCATGAACCTTATGGTAGACAAGGTCGAATTTACTGTTTATAAACTACAATCTTCCATGAATCTCGTACATTCATAACTGCTCTGGCGTATCGAATGTAAACAAATGACGTCATATGTTAAGAAATGGACGAGGTCCGACAATTTATTTATTAAAGACATTTTTTATTTATGTTTAACGTTGTTATTTTATAGATACAAGTATTTAAGCAAATGCTCTGTTTATGATAAACAGTATTAAATAACATTTACCGGCCTGAATGTCCGAGAAATTTTCATAGAAAATATTCGTTCTGAACAGGATTCGAACCTGCATCCTATACGGAACCGTCATATACGCTGACGTGCCTTAACCACTCGGCCACCATGAACCTTATGGTAGACAAGGTCGAATTTACTGTTTATAAACTACAATCTTCCATGAATCTCGTACATTCATAACTGCTCTGGCGTATCGAATGTAAACAAATGACGTCATATGTTAAGAAATGGACGAGGTCGACAATTTATTTATTAAAGACATTTTTATTTATGTTTAACGTTGTTATTTTATAGATACAAGTATTTAAGCAAATGCTCTGTTTATGATAAACAGTATTAAATAACATTTACCGGCCTGAATGTCCGAGAAATTTTCATAGAAAATATTCGTTCACAGACAGGATTCGAACCTGCATCCTATACGGAACCGTCATATACGCTGACGTGCCTTAACCACTCGGCCACCATGATAAACAGAGCATTTGCTTAAATACTTGTATCTATAAAATAACAACGTTAAACATAAATAAAAATGTCTTTAATAAATAAATTGTCGGACCTCGTCCATTTCTTAACATATGACGTCATTTGTTTACATTCGATACGCCAGAGCAGTTATGAATGTACGAATCTTGGAAGATTGTCGTTTATAAACAGTAAATTGACCTTGTCTCCATAAGGTTCATGGTGGCCGAGTGGTTAAACGTCAGCGTATATGACGGTTCCGTATAGGATGCAGGTTCGAATCCTGTTCAGAACGAATATTTTCTATGAAAATTCTCGGACATTCAGGCCGGTAAATGTTATTTAATACTGTTTATCATAAACAGAGCATTTGCTTAAATACTTGTATCTATAAAATAACAACGTTAAACATAAATAAAAATGTCTTTAATAAATAAATTGTCGGACCTCGTCCATTTCTTAACATATGACGTCATTTGTTTACATTCGATACGCCAGAGCAGTTATGAATGTACGAGATTCATGGAAGATTGTAGTTTATAAACAGTAAATTCGACCTTGTCTACCATAAGGTTCATGGTGGCCGAGTGGTTAAGGCACGTCAGCGTATATGACGGTTCCGTATAGGATGCAGGTTCGAATCCTGTCTGTGAACGAATATTTTCTATGAAAATTTCTCGGACATTCAGGCCGGTAAATGTTATTTAATACTGTTTATCATAAACAGAGCATTTGCTTAAATACTTGTATCTATAAAATAACAACGTTAAACATAAATAAAAATGTCTTTAATAAATAAATTGTCGGACCTCGTCCATTTCTTAACATATGACGTCATTTGTTTACATTCGATACGCCAGAGCAGTTATGAATGTACGAGATTCATGGAAGATTGTAGTTTATAAACAGTAAATTCGACCTTGTCTACCATAAGGTTCATGGTGGCCGAGTGGTTAAGGCACGTCAGCGTATATGACGGTTCCGTATAGGATGCAGGTTCGAATCCTGTCTGTGAACGAATATTTTCTATGAAAATTTCTCGGACATTCAGGCCGGTAAATGTTATTTAATACTGTTTATCATAAACAGAGCATTTGCTTAAATACTTGTATCTATAAAATAACAACGTTAAACATAAATAAAAATGTCTTTAATAAATATATATATATATATAATAAAAAGGTAGTGTTTAAGCCTTTTTATTATATCCTTACTCTGTCCTAGACATTGAGTTCTACCTGGATTCTTCCTCTTGGAAAAATTTTTTTCTGAAAATATACATGTATGGGTATTTTTATATATATTTTGCATATGTATGTATATTTTCCACTAATATTATCTATATATATATATATATATATATATATATATATATATATAGATAGATAGATATAGATAGATAGATAGATAGATAGATAGATAGATAGATAGATAGATAGATAGATGGATGGATGGATGGATGCTTTTGAAAATAGCAGCAACAACAATCACAATAATAAATAATACTATTTCTGCAATTGATACCGAGGAGGGAATGGAAAAAGAAACGCTTTGTTCTTAAAGACAGAAAAATGTGTTCATTTTTTATTTGCAATGAATAGCAAAAATATCGATGGCCAAAATGACAGACGGAAGTCGTCAACTTACGGAGATCGATGGGATTCGTACAAAAACTTGGAATGAACTGAAGAAAAGGAAAAGTTAAATAAATAATAAAGAGGGAAGTAAAAGCAAAAGTTATACAATTTTACATTTGTTTGTTGAGTATGTATAAAATAAAACAACAAAAGAAGGAACATAGAACAAAATGAAGAATAAAGAGAATAAGAAAAGAAAGGTGGAAGATGAAAAGGAAGGAATTGAGCGAAAAAAGAAGATAGCAAAAATACATGAAAGATCAAGAAAAGGTAAGCATTTTTGGAACGAAAGCGTT